TTAGGAGACATGGGGACTATACCCAGCTTTGCCACCAGCCTGCTGGTTGACTTGGGGCAAGTCATGTCCCTGCTCAGTGCCTCAGTTTCCCCATGTGTAAAAAACTGGGATAAAATACTGATTTTCAAAGCACTTGGAGATCTACTGATAAAAGCAACGAGCTGTATGCCCTCAACTTAGGGTTGCCAACCCTCCCAGATTGGTCTGGAGTCTCCCGGAATCGACATCGATCTCCCGGTGACTATTGAAAGCAAACCACAAGATTTTAATAGGATATTTTAAGAAAATCACAGTACATCAGGCTGGGGGGGGGGGAAATCTCCCGGAATAGCTTCAGCCAGAGTCGACACCCCTACCTCAACTACCAATGAGTCAAAACAAGGGCGGGAATGGATCCATGTAGAGTGTCTTTGCAGTAGATTAGTAACATACCTTCAAACAGCCAAATATACTAAGCTCCAGAAGAATGACTAGCAGGACAGGGTCTCCTTTCCCTGCTGTATAACCAAACCCAATATGTTTTCAAACCAGAATGAAATGTGGGTTCTCACTTTAGAGCCAAACCAAAAACTAAACACAAACAAGCTCCTGCACACCTGGCTGTGAAAATTAGAAAGAAAAACACTGAACAGCTTGTCCGGGTTATTTCCTTCATGTAGCTCACAAACTACTTCTGATTAGCGTTTATGGCACATGTAAGTAAGGTTTGTTCTTGTATTGTAGCAGAAATCACTTTGCTGTATGTTGGATTGGATCTGCCTGTATTGCATTTTGAGACCTTGCCACTGGTTTTTGTACTGGCATCTTTTTGCTGGCCTGCCTGCTCCCTTTGCTTTTCCAAGTTGTGACCCAAACCCATTGGAGTCAATAGAAAGCCTCCCATTGGCTTTAAGGGAAGGTCCCTGGCACCGCCTCCTCTCTCCCTCTCCCTCCCTCCCTTTAGAAAAGGGGCCCAAACTTACATTCCTCACACACCCAACGCTTCCAGTGCTTTGTGGGCATTCGAGTGTAAGGAACGCAGGAGCGGGTCCAAGTTCTTCGGACATTGGGTCCTGATTCTCCATTCACACCACCGTAAAAGAGTGAAGAACCAGGCTCCCTGACTTTCCCGGGTTCTGTAAGACACAGGGCTCAGCAAGGTTCTTAAGCTCATGCCTAACTTTAAGCACATGAGAATTCCCACTGAAGTCAGTGGAACTACTTGTGAATGTAAGTACCTCGTGAACAGAGGCCAAAAGCCCTATATACATTTACTACAATGTATAAACAATAATCTTGCCAGTTTGGTGCAAGAGCCTTCTCCTCTGCAGCACTTGCCCTCTAGATTAGACTTCTTTTGACTCTCCATCTCATCAACTCCCCATCTATTTTGTAATCTCAGCTGAAAGCATATGCTTCCTCCTTTGCTTACCCCTCTTCATTTCTCTCTCCCCCTGCTATACTTTTATTTTTAACTTTTTAGCTGTATTATGTAACTGTGTAATACATTGTAGGATCTAGCTTGTATGAAAGATGCGATACAAAAATAATATTTATACTAGTTTTCACGGTGCTTGTCCCTAGAGTGGCTGAGCATCTCACAAGAAACATGAATGAATTTATCCTCACAACATCCTGGTGCGGCAGGGAAGTATTGAATAGCCTCATTTTGCAGTTGGGGAACTGAAGCACAATAAGATTAAAGCCAAAAGTTCTAATCCTGCAAATTTTTATGCACGTGCTTAATTTTGCAGCTGTGAGGGCCCCATAGAAATCAAAGGCAGTGCCCATGGTAAGAACGTTAACCATAGGTTAAGTGTTTAGAGGATCTGATCAGAAGGTTTCAAGAGTATCCTCTCTTTTGGGGTGTCCAACTTAGGACCTCCAGGGCCTGATTTTCAGAAGTGCTGCACACCCCAAAATTCCAGTGTCTGGGAGCAGCAGGAGAAATCATGAAAATCAGGCCCAATGGGTACCAAGTGAGACAGCCAAAAATGGAGGCATCCAAACCTAGAAACCTCCTTTGAAAAGTTTGGCCCAAGGTCACACAGGAAGCATGCGTCAAAACAAAGAGTAGCACTCAGGTCTCCTCAGTCTCCGTCCTGAGTCTTAACCACAAATACCATCCTTATTACTGGAGCAGGCCCACTGAAGTTAGGGGGCGCTCTTGTTTTTATCTGAGATTGATCCTGCAAGGAGCTGGATCTTGAGAAGGTAGCTGCAAAGATAACAACGAGAGCCAACATAATTCAGAAACTAGCAGGTACAACCTGGGATGCATCGGCATCAGTGTTGCGAACACCTGCAAACAATAGCACTTGTATATGCAGTAACTGAAGATTGTGCACCAGTATGGGGCAGATGCAGCCACATGCGACTTGTTGACACCCAGGTGATGCAGTGACGTGGGGCATCACTGGAACCCTTGAGTTGACTCCAACACCATGGCTGCCTGTTCTGTCTAACATCGCTCCCCTGCCAATACACTGAACTGCTGCGACACTCCGCAAAGCTCAGTGAATCCAGGAAAACAGATGTCTTCCTATCCACCAAGACCTCAACAACGCCCCCCTCCAACGTCTTAAGTCCCGCAATCCTTCCTGGGAACATTCGCTTAGCCTCATGCAATCAGGCTACAATCAGAAGGAGGCTTGCGAAGCAGATTGTGCTAAACAAGACTTAAAAAATAAGCCCCTTGTGCCGGATCCCACACAGAAGGTTCCTGGGTTCAACCTTCCACAGACATGTTGGTCAACTCTGAACCAAATCCAAATGGACCATGGTAGATGCAGACATCTAATGCACAAATGGAAAATCAAGGACTTCCTGGCGTGAGGGTGGCTCCCCACAGCAGACCTTCAAACATACCATCCCCTACTGCCCAATTTATAAATATGAAGGAGGCATCACTGCAATACACTCTGCTACTTCTGATGTAGCCATTTGGCTCCATCAACTTCAGATGAAATTGTAATTGCTGCTCTGCATCAACCATACGAAAGAAGAAGACGACGTTAATGAGGCTACTAGCATGGGAAAGGACTGTTAGAGTGAGGAGCCCAGGATCAGGCCCTAAAAAGTGCTTTGAATTGTATCCATCATGGCCAAATCCAGATAAATAAAGCACAGTCCAGCTGCCTCAACCCATCCCACCCACTGTGTAGAAACAAGGCTGAAAATTGGAGCTGGCTGAAATTTGTCATTTGAATTTTTTTCCCCAATGAGAACTGGCTTGTTCAAACAAGATACATGTCCACGGGAAACAGCTAGGTTCAACACTATGATTTTTGTTAAAAATAATAATAATAATAATGAAAAAAGAACAAGGGGAGAGAGGATGCCATAATCAAAAACCAAGAAAGCTTGGGGAGGGGGGAGAAGGGAGGGGTTCAGCCTAACTTTTTCATCTTTTCAACAAAACCCCAAAAAATTTTGAAGAAAATTTCTGATGAAAAGTTTGTTTTCATCAAAAAAAAATTTCAGGGGAAAAAAAATTCTCCTGGGCAGCTCTACTGAACGCTGCATTGTCGGAGTGGCTGTCAGCAGTTACCACTATCACTCCTTGTACAGGACTCCCCTCTTCTTCAGGCCCTCAGCCCTACCACAGGATTCTCCTTCTGTTTTAGTGCTCTTGCTACTTGTCTTCTGCTTGGGTTTTATAGATTGTTTTCAACGGTATTATGTTTTAACTGCTTGTGCAATGCACCAAGAGTACATAAAATACCGTTCGCCGCAAACATTGTCAGTGGCAAGGTCCTGAGATGGCCTTTCATTTATAAAATATTTTTATGATTCTATTGGTATAATCATATTTTATAAATAAATGTAAAATAAGAGGTTTCCCTTTATGGTCAGAGGCCTGGATGAGATGGTTTTCTGGGGCCTGAACCATGAAACTGGAGCCAGGCAGGGAGCCCCGTTGAAGTCAGGAATGAGTGTTGCCTTCAAAAGTGGGGGGACACTGATTCTGATTCTGTCCTGGAGTAAATTTACACACGTGCTAAAGGCCCCAATTCTGCAAAAGCTCCAGGCAGGCAAACCCCCTGGACGTGCACCGTGGGCTCGGTCCTGCTTTGATTGAAGTCAGTGGCAAAACTGCCCCTGTGCAGGATCAGGCCTGGATTCCCTCTGAAGTCAATGGGGGATCCGTGCAGGTGCAGGGCTCCGCTGGCGCAGCGCGCGTGGCAGGATCGGGTCCACGGCGGGTTTTCCCGAAGCCCAGCACCCCGTGGCGAAGAGAGCCCGAGGCAATGCTGTGTAACTTCTCTGCGGGGCGTAACATGGCATACAGAACGTGGGAACATCGCCTCCCTGCCCGGTGAACTCCGCGGGCTTTCAGGGCGCTCCCATGTTCAGTGTTGCCGGTAGGGAGGATGGGAGCCATGTGCTTTCCCTGCCTGGCCAGGTGGGGGCCGGATCACCCGCCCAGGAGAGGGATTTTCCAGCTCTGGTCTCTAGGATTCTGTTAGTAATTAATTATTCAGTATTTTTATTAGTGCATTTCCCCCCCCCCCGTTCCACCTGCTGGAAGGAGGAGGGAGGGAGAAGCCCAGAAGCCACCCAGCGTCTCAGGCCAGCCCCCCTCTCCCCGCACATGGTGACCGCTCACCTGCAGCCGCGGGGAAACCAGCCTCCCCCCCCCGGGGGCGGGGGGCATGACCAGGGGGGAGTCCCCTGGGTGCACGTGTCCCCCCACCCCCGCCCCTCCCCTCCGCCCCCCGGCTGCAGCCCCACACGCCCACCCCGGCTCGGGCTGCGGGCTGCCGCGGCGGCTCCGCTCTCATGAGAACATTCCAGGCAGCAGCCCCAAGTCTGTTAGGTATTTGAATAGCACAAAGGAACCGCCTTCCCCTGATTGGCCGGCCCGGTCTCTCCTGGGCGGGAGGCGGCTGCCCGTCAGGCCGGGCCGGGCCCGGCGATAGGCTGCCGGAGCCAGGGGCGGGGCTGGGGAGGACATATAAATAGCGGGGGCTGGGTAGGCGAGCGCTCATTGCTTTGCGCTCAAGGTGCGGGCGGGCGGCGGTGGTGGCGCGGGGGCGCAGGGCGCACCGGTGATGGTGGCTCCCCTCGGAGCGCTGGCGACCCCCTGAGAGAGAGACCCAGAGAGAGAGAGACCCCCCCCCACCACCAACAGCCCCCAGCCCTTTCCCGGCCCGGGTGGATGCGGCCCGGGGTGTCTGGCTGCCAGCGCGGAGCGAGCAGATGCTGGGGGGCCGGAGGAGGATGGAGTGCGCCCTGGACGCCCAGAGCCTGATCAGCCTCTCCCTGCGCAAGATCCACAGCTCCCGCACCCAGCGCGGGGGCATCAAGCTCCACAAGAACCTGCTGGTCTCCTATGTGCTCCGCAACGCCCGGCAGCTCTACCTGAGCGAGCGCTACGCCGAGCTCTGCCGCCGCCAGCAGCACTACCCGGAGGGCGGCGTCCTGCTCGGGGCGCCCCCGGGCTGCGCGCCCGCCGGAGAGATCGCCCCGGAATTCAGCCCGCTCCAGCTGGCGGCCGAGGACCCAGAGCCGGGCATGCAGCAGCCGCGGAGCTGCGGGCTGGGCGGCGCGGCTGGGGCCGCCCTGGCAAGAGGCAGCGGCGGCGGCGACCTGCTGGAGGTGCCCGTGTGCGCTGCGCTCCTGCCCGGTGCGCCCCAGGAGGACGAGCCGCTGGAGCTGCAGCCCAGCCCGCCCCAGCCGGCGGCCCCTTCGGCGCTTCGCAGAGACTCTTCCCCCGGCTTCTACCGGGGCGGCGGCGGCGGCGGCAGCGCTTCTTCGGGGCTGCTCTACCCGGTGCCGGCGAGCTGTGACTTCGGCAGCCCGGCGCCTCCAGGCTCGGCCATGAGCGCAGCGAGCGGCGGCGCCTCGGCGCATTGTAGCAGCCGCACCACGGTGCTGGACCTGGACACCCATGTGGTGACCACGGTGGAGAACGGCTACCTGCACCAGGACTGCTGCTCGCAGTGCCCCTGCTGCTGCCAGGGCGCCGCGGCGCTCGGCGCCCCGCCGCCGACCCCGGGCACCAAGCGCAAGTACTACCCGGGGCAGGAGGACGAGGAGGACGGGGACCCGGGAGGGGTGGTGGTGGTGGGGGGCGGCGGCTCCCCCTTCTCCCCTTGCAGCAAGCGAGCCCGCTTCGAGGACTTCAGCCCCGAGCCGCCCCCGGACTCTTCCAACATCTCCAACTTGATCTCCATCTTCGGCTCCGGCTTCACGGGGCTGGTGAGCCGGCAGCAGGCGGACTGTGAGCAGCCCCTCAACGGGCAGCTGTGCGGCAAGCAGGCGCTGGCCAGCCTGGGAGCCTGGACTCGAGCTATCGTGGCGTTCTAGGGGCGGGGATGGACGGGGGGGGAGCGGTCCCAGGGACACGGACTCCGGAGGGGCCCCTGAAACAAAGAGGGGCGGGCGGGGGAGGGGAAGCCGAGCTCCTGTTTTATAAACTGTACAATAAAAAATCGCAGATCTTGGGGACTTTATTTTTGCAGAGATGAAAAGCACCTATTTAACTATGCCGCGTGTCCGCTCGGGCTTTATTTTGTATTGCGTGCGGGGGCGACTCCAGCCCGGGAGCCTGCCACGTGAGGCGAGGGCTGCTGCCCGGAGGAAGCCGTGTGTGCCGGGGAAGAGTTGGGAGAGCTGCACTTCTCTGCCCCTGGAGGAGCTGCTTGCGCTGGGTGGGGGGGTGGGAAGAGACACCGAAGCTTGCAGAGGCCGTTGGACTAATTCTGGGGGGGGGGATTCTGCCTGCAGGGCTGGGGGGGGAGAATGAGCCTACAGAAAAAGGGGAGCCAAGTGTGATCGATTTCTGTTGTTGTTGCCTCGGCACCGTCAGGTCTGTTACGCTGACACACTCCTTGGTTGTCCCGGGCAGGGGCAGACGGACCCCTGGCGCGTTTGCAAGGTTCATAGCTGGCGAGGTGGATTAAATCCTTCCGTCTCCCATTCAAACGACTTCATTTCGTTCCATTTTCCTCTCCCCTCCCAACACCGCCAGCAGCAGCGTGGGTCAGTGCCTCCCTCCAGCAGCGCGCTTCCTTGGGGAGCAGCCTTCCTCTTGCGTGCTCCACTTTGTTTCCTTTATTTAAAAAAAAAAATTCAGAAGGCAGAAATGAAAACATTTCAACTTTCCTCACTTGCCAGAAGAACTGTCTGCTGCGACCCCTCTTCCTACCATCTGTGCCAGGGTAACCCTGCAGAGCACAATAGCTTCTCGGGGGGGAGACAGAAGGGCGGTTTTCTCTTACCCCCTTCCACTCTTCTGGCTGCTCCATGGGACCTGTAGTCCTGCCGGCCACTGCTTTTTAACCGGACACAATGTGTTTGGGGACAACATGGCAAACTACATTTCCCATCATGCACAGCTCCGCAGTCCTCCTCTTACCCCACCCTCGCTCTGTGTTTGTGTACCTTCACCTAGGTGTATGTGACTGCCACAGGTAAACGTGTGAACACTACTTTTAACGTCTCTTTGAATGTGGTGTGCTGGGGTTTTTTGTTTTAAGTTTGACTGTTCTGGTTTCAGCCTTCCAAATCATAAAACCAGCATTGCTTGGTCTTGTGAAGAGATCTGTTGCCCTTTGACTCTCCCCACCTTTTTTTATTATTTTGTATTTTTAAATAAAAAAAAAAACCTTTTGTTGTAAAAAGGTGTTTTGTTTTCAATTTTTGTTTTTGCAGCCCTGTCATCCCAACCATCACAGTATAAGCACTATGTGTACTAGGGAGGCCTTGCCAAACGTTTTTTCTTTCTTTTTTCTTTTTTTCTTCTTCTTTGTATCCCTGTATTTTTGTGCAGATTGAATGGTATATCACCGGGTAAAACTGTTCAGATTTGTTTAAATTTATAATCTTAATAAAAAGTCCATTATAAAGTTTGTGGTGTTCTTTTTAAGTGGGTTTAACCCTCTTCTCTCTCTCTCTCCCAGTCCTATGCTGGGAAGGTTTTGCACAGTATGGATGAAATCGCTAGAGCTCACAGCTTGGCTCTATGAATGGTTATACCAAAGAGTTTTCCAATTTAGGCTGGATCTATAGATCCCACCCTAAATTATTTGGGGGGGGGGGAGAGATTACCTGTAGCCTGAATTTCTTTTTACTAGAAGGAGCTGACAAATCTTTAGCTTTCAGATGAGTGGAGATGCCACTTATTCAGCTTCCCAGGTGGGTGATTCTCAGGTGACCCCTGCATAGATTAACTGATCTCAAGCATTTGCCTAAAAGGCCCTGAACTACCAAGAGAACAGCACTTCTACCTACACTAGGAGATCCTCAACTCAACAGGTAAAAGCGCTGCATTCTTTTTTTTAAATTGCCTAGGCTTATATTGTACCCAGGTCTTAACTGTTCATCTACTTCAAGACAATAGGAGGGTGGAGATAGGGATATTTCAACCACATAAATCAGATCTGCTAGGGGCAAGGGCCTGCGCTTTGCTTAAAACCAGCTTAGACCTAGCGGGCCTGGCTTGCCCAAAAGTACTAGCACCAGAGTACACCAATGCCATTAGCCCAGCGACGGGTTTCCTAGTCCACAAGCTGCTCCATAAAAAAACAGCCATGGAGAGGGTCTGAAAAATTGGTGCACAAGGTGTATTCCTATCTCAGCATAGGCAGAGAGCGCTAAACTAATTCCATCCCCAACCCTGCCACACAGCCGCCTGCTTTTCTCGCCTCATCCTCCCTGATGTACTTGTGAAGTTGGGGGTTTTTTAAGTTGCAGTTTGTTATCACCACTCTGTGCCACTTGGTGGTGTGTTTTATTTAAAAAAAAAAAAAAAAAAAAAACCAAATGAATGAAGGTAATCAAGGCTCCCTGACCACCTACAGGCTGACCTCAGAAGAGGAGGATTTTGAAAGCCCAGGCAAAAACCGTGCAGGTTTAGAGCAAAATCGACTGCTGCTGCGAGTCCAGCTTTTTTTACAATAGAATCGCTACGATTTCTCCTGTGAGCTGGGGGGGGGAGAAACTGCCGATGGCTGCAACGATTCGAACTAAAAAAACCTCAAAGATCGCAACGAAGTACTGTGCTTTCCTCTCCAGAGATATTGGGGGGGGGGGGGGGAGATTTGGAAAAGAATCGCATTGGAAGGAGACTCCGATTAGTCAAGCAAAAATTTAGTCGAGTACATCGAGCTTAATCACAAGGTAGCAAAGTGTGTGTGTGTACCCCCAATAATCCAGCTATAACATTCACATTACAACTTGCCCTGTGTCAGCCTGGAATTCCTGTGGGGCCCGTTCACTGGGGGTTGTAACTGTTCTCCCCCACACCAACTTTCTGGCTTTGTTGGGGGCAGGAGTCTCCTGTTCTGTTGGTTTCTTTCTTTCTTTCTCTTCGAAGTCTCCGAAATCTTTTTTGTAGGATAATTGTTGTGATTTGATTCCATTAAACCTACCCGGGCTCTAAGGCGAAGCCAGTTGTCAGAGCTCCCCCTAGCGACGGTTTCGGAGCACTGCAGCCCTCCCGCTACTTCGGGGGAATGGGAAAAAGCCGCTCCGACCTGCCCCGCTGGCAGAGGCGGGTTTTGGGGAGCTGAGGCCCGGATCGCGGTGGGGCTTGAGGGCCGGGCCCCAGCGAGGATGGCCGAGGGGGGCGGGGAGCAGCAGCACCTTGAGGCTTTGTTAGAAGCGCAAACACTGGCCCGTCTCCCCTGGCAGAGCTAAACAACCCGACCCAGCGCCCTCGCCCCCTGCCCCGTTCACACTGCGCCGCGGAGCGCAGCGGGACTCAGAGCAGAGCTCAGCCCTGGTGCCAGGGCTCGAACAGGCGCTTGCTGCGTCTCGCCGCCTCCCTCCCCCCGGCCTGTAACAGCCCACACCGCTCCGGGGGCAGCGAGACAGATCAGCGGGCGGCTGAAGTGCCTCGCTCCGCTTTAATGAGGATGGATGTGGGGTGAGGGGCCCAGCGCACCCGCCTCTCTATGGTGCCCCTTTAAAGGGCACACGGCCTTCTTTAGCAATCGGCTCTTTGCTAGCAGCCTCGCCCCCCGCCTCACACCCTCTGCACAGATTTGGGGGGGGGGTGAGGGGCGCTACTGGTCATGGGTGCACCTGGCTCCCCTTCCCCCCACCAGCCCATTGGCCAGCAGCAGCTCTAGGGTGGTTGGGAGAGTCTCACAGGTCCTGGGTTTGGGCTGCCCAGGCAACGTCTGGCCCCATGAAGGTCTGATGCCTCCTATTTAATTACCATAGAGACCCAGCAGCACGCCTACACTTAGGGTGCAACATCTCCTTCCACCCAAGCGTGGCACCAGTGAGGGGCCCCCAGAGAGGCTCTGGGATGTTCCATCCTTGAAGAAGGTGGATGGGTGCAAAGGCTTTCTGAAAACCAAGACCCAGCCCTGGAGAGCCATCTACAATGGGCTTTGCCTCTCGCACATAAGAACAGCCATAACGGCTCCCTCTAGCCCAGTCTCCTGTCTTCCACCAGTGGCCAGTGCCACGTGCTTCAGAGGGAATTAACAGAACAGGCAATTATGGAGTGATCCATTCCTGTCATCCAGCATCTGGCAGCCAGACGTTTAGGGACACCCAGAGCATGGGCTTGCATCCCTGACCATCTTGGCTAATAGCCACTGATGGACCTTTCCTCCAGAACTACCAAAAACTACATCCCACCCCCTCTAACATGGATCCTGGAATGGTAGCATGGCTTCAGTTAAAACAAACGCATCTTCTCCCAACAGGAGGAAATCTGACACTTCTTTCTGCTTAGGTTTCGTGTCTGGGCAGAGCATGGAGGTCACAGGTGCTTTGGCCCACTGGGAAGGGTTCAGGGCTGGTACTTACGACTTTTGGGGCCATGCTTTGTGACACTGGGCTCTTGCTCAGGAGCAATTGCTTGGCTAACTCATCCCACCTCTCCTGGGATCTCTGAGAGTCTCTTTCTCTGGGTCATCTCTTGGTGACCTCTCCCCCATGCACCTTGTGAGAGAGAGAGAGGCTTGTTGGTGATGTGTGTGAAATCCCAAGACAAAACTTTCTAAACAAAACATCCACCTTCCCCTGGGAAAATGAGATAAGTCCTGCCCCCTCCAGAGTGGAAGCTGGGGTGGGGGATGCCCACTTGGTACATCTCTACCACATCCTGCCTGATGGAGAGCGCTACAGAAGTACTGTCCCCGTTTACACTGGAGGGAGAATTTAGTTCAGCATCCGACGCACTTAGCTCTTTGGAAGGTTCTGGCCTTCAGTGATTTGCCCTAGGACTGTTGGAGGCACAGGGGGAATAGAACCCAGGTCTCTTGAGCCTCTTGCAGTGCTGTGACGGAGGCAAGGGACTATTTCCACCTGGTATCACTAGTGTGATGTTACTAATCCCACAGCTGGGGGGAGGAAGGAGGCGTGTCTAGCGGCATCTTTCACCTATGGTTGCACTGCAGGCCATGAAGCTATTGAGATAGGCCAGTGAGATGCACAGTCATTCATCACTCCTTTCATATTTTCTTCTAATCTGCTGACCCTCCCCCCCCCCCCCAAGACACTGCAAGGGAACGTTTTTGCTCTGGGAACACAATTCTCTTGGGACAAATGCTACCTCCCCTGGCTAGGGTGTCACAGGGCACAGAAGGTCCATGGGGGAGTGCAGTGTACGTCAGGGAGGGGCAGCTGTGTTATATCACCCTGGAAGGAGACCATGGAGGGATTCAGATCTCAGGAGCTATGG